ACAGCCAGCAGAACTCATGTTTGCTCTTGGTTGTTGACTGAAGCAAGCCCAGAAGCAGAGGACAGCAGCATTTCTTCTGACTCCATGGGATGTATTTCTGTCAGGAATTTCCCATTTGTAAAGTTTGTGGCTGGATTGAGGATACAAATACGAGAGTGTTGGGACAGGACGACAAGGTAGACATAAGGGGACGAGACACCAAGAACATGAGGAATTTACCTCAGTGCAGAGAAACAAGAGGATTAAAAGCAACAGCTATTCAAACATCTAGCATGAAGAGGGAAAATGTCTGTGGGTGAACAGGGTGAGGTTTGAGAAGAAGCAAATGACAAACAGTTAAATAGTTTTTCTACGCTCTGTAGAACAGCAGTACTGAATGCTGGGGAATAGCAATAAGGGGCATTTTGGGTTTGTTGTTCCATAATATTTTAAAAAAAGGAAAGGGTGGAGAAAGCCTCTCCTCTTCTGACATTGCTACAATGTCAGATCTGCTACAGATAAGCCCTACCTTGTAATAGTCCAGTTGTTTTTGTTTGGGCTGGAGTTAAAGCCTGTGCCTGCTGTCTAGCTGGGGAAGAATTCTTGAGGTTTTTGGGGGCATGTGTTAACAATTACTTGCTAGTAATGACGTTTTGTTAATCAGTAGATAATTATTGTTCCAGTCATTCTTGGCTTTCCTTTTCCTTCCCCTGCATCCTCCTCTCCTTAACCCTTCCTTCTCCCTGCCCCCACCATAATTATTAAAATACCCATGGCATTAAGCTGTTCTTTTTTTCCATCTCGTATTTCGATCTGTCACTGGGTGGGACTGATTGATTCAGGATGAGAGGAAAAGAGCATTGGTCTCTGGAATACCTAATTTTCTTGAATAAGATAGCTCTGCCCTACTAGAAAAGGGATTTTTAAATAAATAAATAGAGGGATTTTGTTATCTTCAGACTCCTACTAGGAAATTAAATGGCAGGGTATATGAGTTGTCAGTGTGTCAGCTTCTGGCTGCACACAGATTTTACTGCTTTCACTAGGCTGCTGTGCTACAAAGTGGGGAAGGCAAAGTGTATTTTAGCATTTGGGCCTTTTAAAAAATGAATATTTATTACTGATGTAATCATGTTATATACCAGTGTAATGCTCCCCATGTCTGGGATTATAGAATCACAGAACGTTAGGGGTTGGAAGGGACCTCCAGAGATCATCAAGTCCAGCCCCCCTGCCAGAGCAGGACCATCTAGTCTAGACTACCTGTAAATGTGGAGTACTCAAGAACCAAAGTATATCTGTCTCAGAAACGATTTTTCTGTTAAAAAGACTGGACACTTATCAATCATATTGCTGCTTGCTATCAATATACTATAATCTCCTCAAAAATAAAGCTAATGGCATTAGTTAAGTGCCAGCTGGAGGGTTTTTTTAATTTTTTGTTGTTGTTGTTGTTATTCAGTCTTTGGTACTGTGGGAAGAGAATTTGGTGACATAAGAGGTGTCAAATTATGTCACCTGCTTATTGCAGGGGGGTTGGACTAGACGACCTTTGGAGGTCCCTTCCAACCCAAACGTTCTGTGTTTCTATGAATTTCATATTTATTTGTTTTCAGGAATTTTCTGTTTATAACTATATTTTTACCGTTTTAAATAATATATTATTTAAATATCAAGATATAAATATTTTATCTTAGTACTTATTATTCTAACTATTTTCTAATATTTTCTTCTTATATAAAACCAGAAGAATGAAATAAGAATTTATTTCTTCTTCAGAGTAGGCATGATGTCTTTTCAAGATCCTGAGGAAGACATGACCATTTTTGGGCATATTCACAAGGAAACTGTTGATCCTTCAGGGCCTATTAAAGAGGGATCATACAGTTAATTCTGAAGGATGTTTATTTGAAAGTCTAGGACACCAGTGTACGTTGCTGTGAACTGCTGGGCTGTGGTGAAAAGGAAGATTAAAGAGGAAGTGGAGTTTATTTATAGACTCCTGGATGACAATGGCTTAGCAGTGTGCACGGGTTGACTTCTTCTACAGGACTGGTTGTAAGAGATGAAAGTGCATTTGAGATAAGAAATACTGCAGAGAAAGCTGTATAAGTGAATAATAAACTAAGCACTGAACATTCTGTTATCCTTTCATTTTTTTTTCCCTTCTTTCCATCATGTACTTCATAAAAAAAAAAATGTTTTCCTAATTAAAAATGTTTCCCTATTTTAAAAAATTTTGTAGGTTGAAAGATATTAAATAGCCTGATAATTTGGGGGAACTAAGAGTAGCTTTTTGATGCCGTTATAAATATTTGGCCTAATTATAAATAATGACTGTAAAAGGTTTGTTTGTATTCATATTCAGAAGCTTTCTTGAACCAAGGGATAGAAGAATTGCATCGCCTCTTGAAATTGTCTCGTCAAAGTAGTTGTCTTGGCATTTCAGAAACTTCTGATTTTTTTTTAACAGTGGAAAATTGCATAAGGAACAGGAAATATTGTTGGCTTTACTCAACTGTCAAATAGCGAGTGGTGTTTTGTTTGCCTATCAGCTAAAGCTCACTAAAACTTTTGTGCTTACTTGGCAGAACAAGCTGGGTTGGTGTTTATTGCGGATTTTTTTTTTCCTTTTTTCTTTTTTTTTCTTTTTTTCAACCAATCAAAGTTTCCGACTTCATCTTTTCATTATCACTTGATTCAAAATATAATTTTAAAGCTTTTTATATTTACTGTAAGTGGTGTTATGCCCTACAGTGGGAAGGCATTTAGTCATGATACATTTTCTTCCCCTAATGTGAAAATCTGCTGTTAAGCTTTGTTGCTGCTTTAAAACTTGGTGTGTTATGCTAACTTCAAAGACTGAGGCTTTGAGTTCTAATATATTAAATTCCTTCTACTTAAAATATCTTTCACCAGGTTCATAAAAGTGGAGTACAAATAACAAGTATTTGTCAGATTGAGATGTCAGAGGAGTGATATAATTTTGAGGGAGTCTAAAATTGTTTTTATCCAGATCTCACTTTAAAGTAGATCTGGAATTTGTTACAAACAGAGCTGTGAAAAAATCACAAATTGTAAAAGAGTATGGCAAATGAAATTATTAAATAAGTGTTGTCTTAAGTCTTAAGTAATGTATGCATGGAAAGTAGAGGAAGTTTGTGGTACTGAAAAGCAATGAAGATCATTTTTTGATTACTTCTTGGATCTGGTCCTTCTTAGGAAGCTAATCACAGGGTAAACTGTTGAGCAGGGTAACAAAATTGAGCATCAGTTGCAGACGAAAAGACTTAGTAGCTAATAGGAAGTGTTGAAGAGCTTGATGGGAGCATGAGCTGTGGAGTAGTTCTCCTCCACACAGTTGCTGAAATGGAACAGAGTGCACAGTGACCCATCAAATTCTGCTGAGAAAACAAATATTTTTATTCTTTTAAGTCATGGGACAATTTCAGGATGCTTCCCAAGGGTTGTAATTGCTAATGAATTGAGCAGCACTCAGCACAGATAGTAATTTACTGGAGACAGCTGCTAAGTACTGCACTCTGTAAAAAGTGGCTTAGAGCAGCAAACAGGCTACCAAGTTGGATACATGATATATTCTTGGGGACATGCAGGAGAAATGGAAGTAAAATATGAGTGTGTTTTGCAAGGAACAATCAAAGATTTAAAGGAATTTTTTTAAAAAAATATATACACTAGGCAAAATCACCAAGTATGTGCTCACTAAAGGCAATACTATAATTCTACATGATTACATTTGGCATGTAAGCCATACCATAACTGCATCTCAGGTAGATGTCAGTTGTTCCTCAGAAAAGTATAAAAATTATTCTCTTCTCAGTACAGAAGATTAAAAGCAACTCGTGCATCTCTTCAGCTGACAGAAGACTTCAGAGCTGAGAACAGAATTTGATTTGATTGTGATTTTGCATGACAGAGTAAAGCAGCAGAACATATGTGGAAACAAACTAGAGCATTTAGGGAAGGTCAATCAGCTGCTGCTTCTTTGGAAGCAGGCAGAGAACAGTTAAAGTGAGACAGCAAGTTGACTTATTGATTCAGAAGATAAGCTGACTGTAAGGTGGCTCTAGTACAACAAAGAACGTTGTGCTTCCTTTGGAAATAGAGTTTTTGTTAGGTATAGATTTTATCTGATGTACTTTAGACTGTTGTGCAGAGGTAAAAGAAATATTTTCTTTATTTTTGTTTAATGACTGACTTGTAAAATATTCAAATATATATTATTCATGTATGTATAAATGAAAGATTATTTGCTCTTGGTAAATTTGAATAGAGATTTGTTAATTGCTTACAGGGTTATGAAGGTCACTTTCAGAGTCAATTTTAACTTCAGTGGGCATGGTATTAAAGGGTGAAGGCAACCATTTAACTATTTCATTATAGCTTTTTCAGTGTTGCTGTTATACGAGAGGTTTCATTAGGTTTGCCTAACTTTCAGGATGTGAAATGTATCTTAAAAAAAAAAAAAAGCCTTTTCTAGTCCCAAAATAGCTAACCAAGTAGTTTCCTTTTATGCTAACAATTGTGTTTTGTTTTTGATAATGAGTCTTTCTAACAATTCAGCTGATAAGTTTCATAGAATATGTATCAAAAGGTCATTTCAAAAGTTTCGTTTGAAAGAAATTAACTGAGAGTTAAAATCGAGTGTGCTTGACTATTACAGTTGCCATTTGGAACATCTTGTTCACTTCTGCAGTAGATGCTGTTCTTTGTTTAGTCAGCCTTTTATTTCTAAAGCTATTCCTAAAGATCATTGTAGCAATAATAACAGCTTTTTTCACTAAATTATAAATTACTTGAAGCAGTAGCTATCAAATTGCAACTGGGAGAAGTTCCATAATGGGTCTTTAAGGCATCACTGTGATGCAAATAATAACAATTGAACTTGTTGATGCAATTCCTTTCCTATTTCAACCATAATTTTCTCATTAGTTTTTTGTTACATCTGTATTAAAGCTACATCTTTTAATTCCTATGCTGTTGTTTCTTTTCCCAGATTGTTTCCCTCAGTAAGTGACGATAAGAATGAATGGACATATATCAAACACCCCTCCCGGTGGATATGGAAGTTATTTTCCTCAAATGAAGTAAGGTTATGCCTTTGATTCTCCTTCTGTGGACAAAAAATAGTGTTGTATTTTCTTCTTTATGCTTTCATTTCAGGTAGAGCTATAATTATTAGATCCCATTGGAATAAGGCAAAGGCAGTTTCTGTAAATGAATGTGCAGTTTCCAAACCATGTAGCTAAACAGACAGGTATCATCTGACTGATTTTTTTTATTAGTGTAAGGATAAAGCTGTATTACTGAAAGAAATCATCTGCAACAGAAAAATAAATTGCTGTAGCCATAACATACTTCTTACATTACTTGAAGAGATCTTGCTATGGCTGAGATATTGAAGGTTAGCTGAGTGAATGTACTTTTATGCATAAAAGATGAGGCTGTCCTTTCCATCTGTGAGAAAATAGTGTTTCCCAGTAAAAAGAACTGAGCAACTGCTACCTGACAGTGTTACCTTGCCTGAGGTGAGAAGGTGTTCCCTGTATGAGAAGCATGGCACTAATGAGAATTGACCTAATCTGATGACAAAGAACATGTATTCCTGTATGGAGCAGGGCATCTGTGCTGTCACCTGCTTCTCATACTGTTGTTCCTTTAAAGGGGGTTTGTATACGAATCAATCTTGTTCAACTAGAAGAAAGTTAGATTACCTTTTTGTTTGTTATAGGCAATGATAGTCTCTTATGAAAAGCGTTTACAGTTTTTAAAAAGAAGTAACACACACACAAAAAAATCCTACAAAGTCTTTGTCAATATTATTATTATAATCATTATTATGTAGTGATTCTCATTACTTTATCATGATAGCATCTATGTCTATGCCACACTTCCATTGTGCATGATATTGTATTAATGCAACAAAAGAGAACTCAGAAGGGCTTCCAACCTAAGTGAAACTTAGAAATACTTTGCTGTATTCATGTGGCAGAACAAATATCCAATTTCATTACCTCTGTTACTTGTGTTGTAGGTATGTGTAGTCCTACTTAAGGGAAGGGTTTTTTCAATGCCTGTTTCTGTGTGGTGAATACATCTGTACAGGAGTTAACCAGAACTGTTTCCTTTCAGTGGCTATGGCTCCCCAACGTTTGCTCAGGCAGAGAGGGAACAAAATTCAAGAACAAGTGCAAAAGCTCTTTATGGTAAGGTGGCATAAATTCTTTAAACTTTTATGTTACAATTGTTGGTTAAATACTTATTGTGATGTCATGGTGGAAATATTTTATTCATATAAATCTGAAAGTGTATGCACATACATATAGGTGTGTATGGCAAAAAAATTAAACAACAGTGGTTTTATTCCTACTAAAACTAATTAGGCTGGCTGGAAATTTTTTTTATAGTTTACTAAGGATAGAACTCCCACCGGCAAATTTTTAAGGCACCAATGTATAAAGCATTTATCACAAAACTAAGAATGGTCCAATAGCTAAGTTACGTACCAGGGAGAATGCATTCAGGGGTCTAGCTGTGCTATAGGTTTAATTCACGATCTGAGTCTCCCTTTGCCTCCCCAACTTTATCCTCTGCTTGCAGAAAAGGAATTTAGAACATTTTTGTTTGACACAGGATTTCATGGAAACTAGATCTGATGTAATGGATTTGGAGTCCTGTTTGGCCTGCTATTTTCAACAGGCTTTGTGGCTGTCAAATGTGATGTCGCTTACAAATGCCTGAACGTTGTTGCACTTCCCAGCTACAGATGCCAGTATTTGTATTGGCTGTATACACTTCTCTAGAGCGGGGCCAAATCACTGTGAAGGCACAATGTAGTCGTGTTCCTTGCCAGCCAAATTGCACCATTTCCTGGTCATCTACCTCCACTGTGAATACATCCTGCTGGTAGCTGTGCTGGTAATGGTAATAAAAGCAGCAATCAGGGTGAGAGATGTTCTGCTATGCAAATCTGTGCCTGTTGTTAAAAGCTCTTCAGAAAATCAGTACAGCTGATGATGAGACTGGAAGAAGGAGGACTGAGAATCCAGTCCTGTGTAATGACCCCTCCCACCCCAGCCTGCTCTCCCTTGTTGCATCTGCCACCTCTTCTGCAGATAAACTGGAAAGCTCAAAGAGCAGTGGCTAATAACTGCAATATCCTTAGTAATAACTAATCCTCTCTCCCTCCTATTTTGGGTGGGGTGATGGCTGGGAGGTTAGGGGAGTGACAGCAGGATGCTTTGTGTCGTGAGAACAGAGTTAACTTTGCCCTTGAAGGATGCCCTACAGGCCTCAAGTTTGGTTACTCACCTGTGAGTACGTGAGAAGAGCTTTATTCTATTGGTCGCCTTTGGCTTTCCAAATGCTTTGAAATTCATGAGGCTAAAAAGCCCCTGAGGGAGACTGGAGACCTCCTAGCTCTGTGCCCTCTGAAAAGAGGAGTGGTATGAAAAAGCTGACATGGTTTGGTGACTGAAGACTCTGTGCTAGAGTAGTTGAGGGTCCACTTCTGGAAAAATCACCAAAGACAGAAGTAGAAACCATTTGAAACATTTGTTGTTTAAAAATGATGTTGCATATGAATCATTCTAAGTTTAAGTCTATCTTGTTATAGTGATATTCTACAAAAAACAGTCACTTCACATAGTATTAAAGGCAGGAACTGCAACTGAGGAAAATTCTGAAGTGATAATTTTAAATGGTGATTTCTACATCCTGTATGGATTCACTCAACAAACTGATTGCACTTGTTGGCAGAAATAGTAGATGGTAACGGAAACCAGGATGAGACATTGCAAAAGACTTGTCTCATAAAGAAATAATCTGCTCTTATGACAGCATTGCACTCTGTTTTGTTTTCTATCATGATTCTGATTTTTTCAAGAGTGCATGTTTTGAACAGTATTTGAACAGTAAGTGTCTTAATCATGTCCTTTAATCTCTGGGCTTTTAAAATTACACCTCTCTGAACTTTATTCTATCAGACATGATGGGATATTCATGTGCTGGTAAAAGGTGGGGACAAATGACTCAATTTGAGGTATATAATGATAAGCAGCCTTTTACTGCTAAAATATTTAATTCAGGTACTAATTGAAAATGCTTCCCATATAATTGCTGCATGGTGTCTCCTGCAGAATGAATTGTTGATCTTGGTTCACTTCCACAGCTAGCAGATATATCACAGACCTATAGCTGGAGTTGCCAGGAACTGAATGAAGCAGAAGACTCATTTATCCTGGAGCTCTGAGCAAAGATGTATTAGAGAGGATGCTTTTAGAAAGGAGTTTGCACATTTTACTGCTTCTGCTCTGTTTTGCATGCATAAGGAACTAGGCTTTCAGCATCACTAGATGTATGAACTGGAGAAAAAGGAAAGGAAATAATCTAAAACCTTTATCAAATTCAGGATTTTTTTTTTTTATTATTATTACTATTTTAGCAACCATGTTACAATTCTGCTGCATCCCATGTATGTCTTGTCTTCTTCTGTGATGCTATGGATGTTTTGCCTCCTGTTTCAGGGAGAGTGGGAAGCAGTTGAGTGACACTGGAATTGTTAAAATGTGTTTAAAATGCTTGTCATAAAATATTTGTAAATGATACATAATTAATAACTAACAAGTATTTTATTTGAGATCCATGAGACTGAAATCCTATAAAGCAGATTGGAAGTGTTCTGTCTTTATTTTTATATTTTATGTATATGTATGTTAAATGTACATATTTTATGTAAGTACATAGCGCTTATGTATTTAATAGATTTACTTATATTGGGGAAAAAGTAGATAATTTTACTGTAATAGTAAAATGGACCATGGTTGGGTTTTTTTGTCTTGATAAAATGTGACAGTGTAATGTCCATGACAAAATTTTTTCTTGGAAGACTTTTGAATGTCATTTGGACTAAAGCACTTATCTATGAATATCAACAAGTGAAGATGGTACATGGCCTGCTAAGTGACCTCTTGATCTTGAACTCAATTTCTTCCAAGCACAGTAAAGACTTAATAATTATTATCATTAATATTAATAATAATAACATCTGTGTTTATACACACACACACTTATATGTCATGGCATGAAGTCAGCACCTCAGCACTCTTGAGACCCAGTGCTGAGGTGATTCTTGATTGTTCAGTCATCAGGCTTCACCACAGTGCCACTGGGAAAGGAGGCTGGAGTTTTATTGTTGTTACAGAGAATTCAGTCAAAACCTAGAGTGGAGCCATCACTATCTCTGATGGGGTTGTGGGGTTATCTGCTAGCAAAAGCTTCCCTGCAACTGCATTTTTTTCCTGTGTCAAATAATCCCTTTATTTTCACTCATTTCCTTCCTGAAATGAACTCTTCTGCCTGCAGGATAAATCTCTTGCTGAACTAAGAGGGAAGATGCCCTCTGCACAATCTTACAGGATTTATTTCATCATTTACTTCCTGATCCTTCCATCTGAAATGGATTTTGGGTTGTACTGTCATCTGTTGTTCCAGCATTGGCTTCTCCATCTGTCTTCTGCAGCTCTGGTTGGGAGGAGATGTGCAGCATCAGCTGATGCCAATAGCCAGGGCAGTGCTGGGCTCTTGCCAGCGAGTGGCACGGTGTGGAGCAGCCCCGTGCCCCAGCAGTACCGTTTGATTATCATACAATGTAGAACTGAAAGGTGTTACTAAAATTGTCTTCACGCCACAACAGAAAATATTAGATGTCTTAGAAACTGTGTTTATACTCTGAGGGCTGTGACCTAGCAGTATGATAGCAGTGAAGTGGCATGTGCATTTTTGCATTGCTCAAATACCTCGTTGACAGCAAGAGCTGTAGTGCAGGAAATTTAAGGATATCACAAGCAGGTCATAGACTAGGTGAATGTGTGTGTGTGTGTGTGTGTGTGTGTGTTAAAAGAAGCCATCCATGTAACACACTTGTATTCAATACTCAAATGAATTAAATTGCCAATTGACTCCTAAGCAATACACCTTCTGTGATAGCTAGTTCCACATAGTCATCAGGGAGAAGCTTGTAATCTCTGAAAGTGATAGTATTTGCTCCTCTGAAAATGAGATCTGTTGTGAACTCAGGTTTTGACCTTTCTTCCCTAAAGTGCTGGCATTTAAACCCCCAGCCCCAAATGAGGGTTGGCAAATGCTTGATGTCCACAACCAGGCAAGAAAGACACTTGTGATTGGTTTTCACCCAGGGTCTGGCCAGCTTTGGTTGGGAACTGATGAGGAGATCAGCACCAGATGCCCCCACCTTCCACATTAACTTGGAGGTGGGGCAAGAAGCCACCTCTGTAAGAGCAGAGTGCTTGCAGTGGGGTTGGGAGGTCTGCCCACACAGCATATGTGCTGTGTGGGGATTCTGGTTGTTGGAAGGGCTCCCTGACTCTTCACAGCAAATTGAGTTCCCAGGATGAGAGAGCCAGAACATGGACTATCCCTGAGTCCCTACTCTGTAACTGGGCTCACTGCCTGGCTGCTCCCATCATACATGGCTTGGCCCCTTGCCCACCTCACTCCCTTCTTCACGCCCATTGACTTGCTCCTCCCTATGGTTGTCCATCACTTTGGATCTCTGGTGTGTGATGGGGAGTGGAGGCAGGACTTTGGCTGCTGGTCTGCCTGGTAGGTCTGCCTGTTAATGACAATATCATTCGATGTTGGGCAAGCGGTCAGCGGAATTTCCCCAAATGTGTAGTTCATGTCTCCTGCACTTTACTCTCAGTGTCAAGTACTTCTAGGTGCTGCAATACATTCTTAAAAGGGTGTCAGCAATTAGCTCAATGCATACCACAAATATATGGTAAACTAAACATTGGGCTTTTCTGCTTGCTGGTGTGTGGTAATAATTTATACTGTCACTCCAGGATTCTTAGGACAGCTTGTGAAAGAGTCTCTTAATCCATCTCTACATGGATTGCCATCATATTTCAGAGCTTCGTCTCTTTGTACACTGTACAGCCGTTTCCAACTTGGCTATGGAAGGGGAGAATGGGTTCTGCCAGGGCCCTTCTTTGTGTTACTGTAACAGTAGCACTGACAACACTTACTGTATCTGGCCTGTGCAGTTATTAGTGGAAACAAAACATTGGTGGAAGTCTAGGCACTGAAATTCTTCATTTCTATTAGGAACTAAAATTTGTTGTGTCTAGAGGTATCATAGCCCTAACCAGCACCACTTGTGCTTTAGGTTATATTTAAGACCCAG